CAAAATCATTGTGCAAAGTTTCAAAACATGGTTTAGCCAAAATGTCAAAATTCACATGTTTACATTTTTCATGTTTTGGCTTATTTTGTAAAATGATGATATTTTTTATTTGGGAAGTCCTTTTTGGAAACCAGTCAGTGTAGCATGTTTATTATCATATCTACAATCATTCTCCAAAGTTTTACATTTTTTGGAATTTATTTGATATTTTTAAACAGTATTTTAAAATCAGAAAAATATTTTTCAGACTTCATTTTCATGTATCAGTCCTCGGTCGACCGCACCGGTCGACCGAAGAAGTATCTGCTTGTTTTCTCAGTTTGGGATCTGGATCGTGGTCGACCACGAATTTTTTTGGTCGACCGCCGCTCTGTCAGTTCTGTTCCAACGGCTATTTCTTGTTACCGTTGGCTGGGGCTTTTTGCTCTGTCAGTTCTGTTCCAACGGCTATTTCTTGTTACCGTTGGCTGGGGCTTTTTGGTCTTTTGTTTAGGGTTTTTGGCTGAGGTTTTGGGAGGCTATAAATACCCCCTTGATCTCAGTTCTAAGGGTAACCTAAGAGAATGTTTTAAAGAGTTTTAAAAAGAGTTTAAGCTTGTTTTAAGCTTGTTTAAGGGTTTGGTTTAAAGCTGTTTTGGTTTTCACAAGTGGAGGAGATTATCTTTTTGTTTGGGCTTCAATCTCCATCTCTCCATCTTGTCATCTATTGAGAAGTTTTCTAAACTCTACTCTAGCTTTTATTTATTAATTATTTGTTAATTATCATTTCTATTAAAGCTAGTTTTATATTGAGTTTAGATTTGATTTTATCTCATTGTTACACACACCCACATGAGCTTATTGTATTTTCATACATAGTATTTTTGGATTGGTGAGAGTTGTAACAATTGAGTGTGAGCTTTCATTGTGTTCTCATCCATAGTTGAGAACAATCAATTATTTATTAAGCCTTATTGTGAGATTTACTTTGTAATACACGTGTACACCGAGAGAAGTGTGTGGCGAGAGTCGAGGATCGTCCCAAGAGGAGTGGCGTCGGTTGACGAACCTAAGGAGAGGTTGTAACCGAGCACTTGAGGGAGACACGTCTAGTTTAACACTTAGTGGGTGTAGAGTGGGATTACAATAGTGCGTTGTTGTGAAGTTTTCGGTGAACTAGAAAACCGAGTGTGAGGAGTGGACATTGATCGGTGATCGTTGAAAACTGACATAGTGTGGTTGTAAACGTTATTCGGGTGAATGTAAAAAACCCGGTTGTGATAGTGGATTTCTCCCCGGGAGTGGGGAGCGGAGACGTAGGACGGAAGGTCTGAACTCCGTGATCATACATTGTGTTTGAGTGTGCTTTGGCGTTTATTTATACTTGTGTTTATATTTCTTATCGCCATTGTACATAGCTCTTTATTTATATGATCCACTATCTAGTTCATATGGTTTACCCCTTGTATTAGTTTATATATCCTTGCATATATATATTTCATCATATAGAATATATCTCATTGTTTACATTGCTTATCCTAGCTCGTATATCTTGTGGTATTTCATACTTGCTATGATAACTTGTTAATTAATTTTAATTGACATATAATCGGATTAGATTAGCATAAGACCCTAATCACCCCCCCCCCCCCCCCCCCCCTCCCTCTAGGGTCTAACACTCCCAACTACCTTGGAAATTTGTAACACAAGCTCGCAACATATTCTCTAACACTTGATTGACTCTCTCTATTTGTCCATCTGTCTGCGAGTGAAAACCACAAGAACATGACAACTGGCTACCGGAAGAATTCTGGAAGCTCCTCCAAAAGTGCGAAGTGAAAACTGAACCTTGGTTTGATACAATCTTCTCTGAAACTCCATGTAATCTCACTTTTTCCTAGATGAATATCCTCGCATAAGTCTCCACCATGTAAGTCGTCTTTACCTGTATGAAATGTGCTGACTTCATCAACCGATCCACTATTACCCAAATTGAATCATTCTTCTTCTTTGATCTTGGTAATCCTACAATAAAGTCCATAGAAATATTTGTCCACTTCCACTCCGGAATGGGTGAAGGCTGTAGGGTTCCTACTGGTCTCTGATGTTTTGCCTTCACCTGCTGACAAGTAAAACATTTAGCTACATATTCTGAAATCTCTCTACGCATGCCGCTCTACCAAAAATGTCTCTTTAGATCCTTGTACATCTTCGTTGTGCCTGGATGCACTGTATACCTGGTACGATGCGCTACGTCGAATAAATCCTTCTTCAGCTGAGTATTATCTGGCATTACTAATCGACCATTCATCTGAAGTCCTTCATCTGCTTCAACGGTCCAATCAGTCTTTGGCTCTTTGGAAATCTCCCCCTTTCGGGTTTGAATCCAAGATGGCTGTACGGACAAAGCTCCTAAAAATGCGATACTCCCGCCAATCTCCGGTCTAAAATCAAACTGGCTGAGGGTGTAAAAATCTCGGTACAACGAGCATCTCAAAGTTAAAACCCAATGTCAACGCTTCCTACTCAACGTGTCTACCACAATGTTTGCCTTCCCCGGATGATACTGAATTGCAAACTCATAATCCTTAATGAATTC